CTGTGTTAAATGACAGTGGTTTTCTCAAGTGTTCCTGAACCTTTGTGGTTGTGTTTATAACAGAAGCTTGTCGGTTTTTAATGCAGTGATGGTTCACTATTGGTTTTTGGCCTTGCCCTTTATGCGCATCTTTGGATGCTGTGAATCTTAATAATGTATAAGCAGAATGACTGCAGGTGAAATACCTAATTACCTTCAGTCGTGTGTTGAGAAACATTGTTCTTAAACTATCAGACTCCTTGCTTGCTCTGTTTATCCCAAAGTGACAGCTGAGCCTTTCATTAATGCTCCTTTTTTATACCCAATCTCGATTGCATCACCTGTTACCTATTCAGCTGTTTACCTGTTTTTAATCATTCCACAGACTTCCTAGTCTTACGGTGCCACAGTCCCAGCTTTTTGGGATGTGTTACAGGCAGCAAATTTGGAATTACACGTATATTCCCAAAACAATCAAAAGAAAAAGCTAAAATATTAAATAATTTTTCTTTGTGCTGTTTTCAAATAAATACCTGTAAAAGACAGTTTACAAATCACTGCTTTCTGTTTTATTTGCATTTTATCTACTGTTCCAACTGGGTTTGTATACAAGTAATCAGATACTGATTTATTTTATGAATGAGTGGTCAGTTTTACTTTTTGAGATGGTAATAAAATGGACCTAACAATCCCTTCTTAGCCTTTCAAAGATTCCAAAATACTTCATTGGAAGACATTAAACTTGGAAGACATTAAGAGAGACCAGTAGGAGAAATTAAAACACAAGCTTGTCATGACCTTGCAGAGCACACCCAGTCAAATTTTGAGCTATACAGGTCATTTCTTACCAACTCTTCTAGCCCTTTTAGTTCATATCACAGATTTTCTTAAAAAAAATGTGAAAACCACTATTAAATTCATGAGGCATTGCAAAATCCTATAGCTCTACTCTGAGGTCTTTTTTAGTTATAAACTTTTGGTTTTTAGCCATTTTCATCATTTTCTGTGATTCTTTGCATGTTCATTCTAAGCCTCACCCACTGCTTATTTTTCACTGGATTGGGTTGAAATTTGTCCTGGACATCCGAGAAACACTAAGGGTAATTTGCAGCATGTGTTCATGTAAATATCTGTTTCTGAGTGTTTCACAGTACTCGAATTTTAAAAATAGATTTTTTACCAGAATGAAAAATTTTCAATTTTCAATTTTCAAAAATGAATATCTCCAATATCTCCATCTTCTTACAACCAGATTTTGATTCCTTGTGGTTAATATAGTTGTGACATCTAGAAGTTATTTGATCCTGCATAAGAAATCTGAGTGCCACAGATCCAGCTATATAGAGCTTTAGAGCTGAAAACCCACTTTTTAAGATATTTTGCTTAACAACACTAACCCAGATGGAGAGGCGTTCAAACATGCTTGTCGTCTCTCAGTAATGCTTGGGCATATCTTGAGGTGTATCTGTTGTTGTCTGTTATTGACATGTGTTCAAACCCACCATGAGTATGGAGGGGTGAGTCTGGGATGCCAGACACCACTGTTGAGCCTTTTGGAGGTGTTGTGGGGTAAATTCCATGAGACACTGATGAAGGAAGGTGCCCGTTTGACAATCCCTGTGAAATGCTAACGAAGGCATCTCTGTTGTTGTTAGTATTGTAGTACCTGTGTAATGGTCATAGTGTACCCTGTTGTGTTGTTAGGTTAGGTTGTTAGGTATGTATACTTGCATCTGACAGTGAGGTTTGGCCGCTGTTGGAAGTCCCCCACCAATAGCACAAGCAATTTAACATCTTTTCCTGTGTGTTACTAAAATTGTCCACACACAGAGCAAGATGACATCATCTAGTATGCAACAAACCCATTACAAGATGTAACTTTTCTGAACTCAGTTGGTATCACACAGAGAAATGGTATGGAATGACCCTTACTTGAGCAGTAGTCTTGTTTTCGTTTGTTAAAGAAAGTATTGGAGGTGAGAATTGAGTACAATTTGCTGTATTTTTCTCTTTAGTCATTGAACAGAACACAGAAACGCTTTATTACTGAGTTTGACAAGCATAGCAGAAATTTAGAGGTGCAATGGCCAAAGTTGGACTCCAAAAAAAAAACGACAGCTCTGATATGAGATTAAAAATATCCAGTTTGATTCTGTAACAGGGTCAGAGTGTATGACTACAGTTAGAATAAGTAATATGAATATAGCCTGTGCTTTCTGAATTGAGGTGTGAAAAAGTCATCTGGTCAGACGTCATCATATTCACCACAAGTGGGCGAGTGCATGTGTAGCATAAACCACAATAGCTGTACAGGCCTGCGTACTTGACCTTTACAGCGAGAGGGTCCGGTGGCTCTGTTACACTGTGGGGAGCATTTAGTTGCATGAATTTGGTTTGCTTGTCTTTTTAGAGGAAATCAATACAGAGTTATTCTCTCTGCTCACCTGTGTCCTATGAGGAAACATTTCTGGTCTCTTTTAGAATGACACCTCCCCCATCCACTGGGCATGGTGGGAGTAGGGGTTGACTGAATGGTTTGATGAGTAGGAAAAGCTGTAAATCATATATTACAGCTTTTGAAGCCCAGATCTTCACCCAGTTGAACACCACTCTCCACCACCATCATCTAAACATCAACTGTTTCTGTTTAGGATAATGGTGGTCCATCTCTCCAGTACAGGTCCAGGGTGCACTGAAGCTGACTCGTTATGGCCCAACACCTTGCTTAGATACTTAATGTTGGTTTTTGCTTATATTTGTCACCCTTCTATAATGTAAGGTAGGGGGGTCAAACTTCTGGCAGGCCACGGTTCTGCAGAGGTCAGTATTATAACAGTGAATTTAACTCATAAAGGCCTTGCTAATAAGCTAATGATCTGATTCAGGTGCATTCAATGATGGAGAAGTCTGGACACTGCAGTTGCTTTTAAGGAATCGCTTGACCAAATATGCTAAAACAACTAACAGTGAATGGAAGCTGGTAGCCACCAGTTATCAGAATGTCACTGCTAATGCTGCCAACATTTGCTTTCTAACTATTTAACTTTTAAGGTCACCACCCAGGGAGGAACGTCTTTTAAACTCTAAAGTGCATAAATACTGAGTCGGAGGGAATGAGCAGTCTTGTATGTAAGAGTCGTCTCATCCTGTATTCGCTCAGGCTGTTTACAGGCAGAGCAGCTCGGCTCTGTCTACTGTAATCTCACACAGCTGTGAGGAGGAGATCGTGTCTCCTCAGCTGTTTCTCCCCATGAGCCGCAGATGAAAGCCTGCAACATGAAAACGTGGGGGCCCTGTGCCGAACTCCCACAGGAAGCTCAAAGCTGCACAGGAACACTCAGAGTAAACACTCTGTTTATGCCTTTATTGCCTTGGCTTCTGAGTAAACCCCATCGCCAAGCTTACTCAAACACTTGAAACACTTCAAGTAAAACTAAACTCTTGTAGAAATGTCTGGAGTAAACGTCATTTATGTCTGCTGAAAATATTAGTATTTCACAGTACTGCGCTTGATTCCTCTATGTAGTGCTTCAGGTGTTTGGTTTATTATGCGCCATTGTAGTTCTTAAAAGTTTGTTTTATTGTGAATAACCCCGCAACCCCCAACTCCACCGCCCGCTCCACCCCCGTCCCCGTCAGTATAAATTTGTGCCCATTCAGACAAATGAGCATTTGTGAACTCAGGCACTGATGTTGGACGAGAAGGCCTGGCTGACTATTGACATTCCAAATCCCAAGAGGTGTTCTTTGGGGTTGAGGTCATGGCTCTGTGCAGGCCCCTGGAGTTTCTCCACACTAGATTCGACAAACAGCTGGAACAGGAAAGGATTTTCCCCAAAATGCTGCCACAAATTTGGAGGCATATAATTGTCTAGTATGTATACACCGATCAGGCATAACATTATGACCACCTCCTTGTTTCTACGCTCATTGTCCATTTTATCAGCTCCACTTACTATATAGGTGCACTTTGTAGTTCAGACTGTAGTTCATCTGTTTCTCTGCATACTTTGTTAGCCCCCTTTTACCCTGTTCTTCAGTGGTCAGGACCCCCATGGACCCTCACAGAGCAGGTACTATTTGGGTGGTGGATCATTCTCAGCACTGCAGTAACACTGACATGGTGGTGGTGTGTTAGTGTGTGTTGCGCTGGTCTGAGTGGATCAGACACAGCAGTGCTGCTGGAGTTTTTAAACACCTCAGTGTCACTGCTGGACTGAGAATAGTCCACCAACCAAAAATATCCAGCCAGCAGCGTCCTGTGACCACTGATGAAGGACTAGAGGATGACCAACACAAACTGTGCAGCAGCAGATGAGCTATCGTCTCTGACTTTACATCTACAAGGTGGACTGACAAGGTAGGTGTGTCTAATAGTGTGGACAGTGAGTGGACGCAGTGCTTAACTCCAGCAGCACTGCTGTGTCTGATCCACTCGTACCAATTAATTGGTACAAATAATTGGGACCAAGTGGCCTGAAAAACAGCCCCAGCCCATTATCCCTCCTCTACCAAACTTTACTGTTGGCACTATGCATTCCGGTAGGTAGTGTTCTCCTGTCATCCATCAAACCCAGATTCATCCACCGGACTACCAAGTAGTGAAGCTTGATTCATCACTCCAGAGAAGACATTTTCACTGCTCCATGGTTTGGCATTGCACATAATGACTTCAGGCTTGTGTGTAGCTGCTCGGCCGTGGAAACCCATATCACAAAGCTTTCAATGCACATTTTTTGTGCTGATGTTGCTTCCAGAGACAGTTTGGACGTCACACACTTACCTTGACCCGCATCAAGTTGTTCAGCAATTGCAAACAGACTTAATATAGTTCCTGACACTGCATGACTGTTCTAGTTTTGTTTATTGGTGTGATTTGCCATTTTGAATCTCAGTAGGCCACTAAGGGATTGTCTGACATATTTTTTTTTGCCATTTTTGTGTAATATTTAAATGACTTTATCTTTTCAATTTATCAGTTGGTGTTTAATGCCTTATTGTTTTTCTGTGTGTGTTTTCAGGGGAGTGTGTTCTACAGAGAGCTGTCCTGGTGAGGAAGAAGCTGTCTCCTAAAGAAGGGGGAGGCTGGCTGTCCGGCACTTTGTTCTGTACCCATTTCAGAGTAGCCTTCGTGCCACAGGACAGTCCAAGAGCAGATGTAAGTACCACATACCTACGCAGTAAGGGCTGCATGGTAAATCTTATTTTTATCATTATTGCGATATGAGCTTCTGCGAAACGCATATCGTTAGAGCGACGATGACAGAACAGGTCCGGCACAAACTGTTAGAAGCCTAATGACGGTTTTCCTGTGCTGGGATTTAACCCTGATTCATTTCATCATTGTGACATCCAACAGCTTTATCGGACATCGCATCTTATGTCGATATCATACAACCACATTAACCAAGCAGCCTTTAATAAATGACCCTGTGCCTAACAGTGAATGAAGACTCATACAGAACAGTTCACATGACTGCTATAGTCAGTTTTCTAGAAGATTAAATAATGTTCCAGTGGTTTAACAGATTACCTGTGACTGATTTGAGACACATTTGATGTTTTTCCAAAGGAGTCTAAAGGTAATGGTAACCACTGAGCACTAATGAGGAGGAAGCAAAACCATCTTAGTTTTAATGCTAGTGGTTCTAACAGTCTTCTTTTCAGCAGGGTGGTAATGCTACCTGACCCCTGTTGAGCTTGATCAGCAGCATTTAGCATTGTTGGGTGAGGAATTCCTTTAAAGCGATGGTTCAGCAGAAAATCAACATTGTTTTCCTCTTACCCCTCAAATATAGCTGATCAGCTAAAAGACACATTTGCCGTTCTAAGTTTGCTTCTTTAGTTTTGCACTGGAGCTGTGAGGCTAATATAGCTAACAAGTAATGGAATACTTATATTTTCTTTACCATTTATGCAAACTCAAATAGACTCTTTAACAGAGTTTATTCTGCTCTCACGTCCAGGAGACACTGCAGTGGGTTCTTGTGCAAAGTAGGTCGAGCCTTGTGCTCTGTCATTTATCAACCAGGTGGAGGCGAATCGTCCATCTCTCTGGTAGCTGATGGGCTTCCCGATATTCATATTTCTCTCTGCCAGACCGCTTTCATGTGTCTGGTTTAGCTTCCGGCTCAGACTGTATCTCTGCAGATGAATTATCAACTCGTGTCTGCTTTGCATAGCCATGCCTGCCAGGGCCTGATCTCCTTCCGCTTTCCCTCTGATTTAGGACAACGCTGATCCTGTTCTTCTTGGAGACCATGATGTGGCACTGGCTTCCATTGAGAAGGTCGTGGCCGGTAGGGTGGAGCTTCGGCATAATCACTTTTTGGGTTGTGGGGAGTGGAAACACTTTTGCATTCCAATAATAAAGGTGCCAAAATGGTTCTTTAGAGGGATCTCACAGAAAAACTTCCTGTGATTCCCAAAACAACCTTTCAGTGAATGGTTATTTAAAGGAGTTTTCCAGTGTTATTCAACCTAATCTGTGTCTGCTGGGTCTGTAGCTTATGATTGATTACCACAAAGAATAATTTCACCAGTTTTCCCTCAGTAGGAAACTCCTTGACTCAGAACACAGTTGTAATAGATGCTTATTATTTAGGAACAAAATATGATTCTTCTATGGCATCGCTCTGGAGAACTATTCTGGGATCTTTATTTTTAAGCATGTGGGTGTTCTCTGTTTCAGTGGGACCATCCAGGACCAAACTGGTGACCCCCAACTCCTCTCTGAAGTTCACCCCGGAGGAGCTGGTCCTGTACTGCAGAGACCTGCGAGTACTTTGTTTCCTGTTCGACCGGCTCACTCCTGACACTCAGGCTGTGGAGGTATGTGCTTGTGTGGGGTAGTTAAAGGAATAATCTGGCAAAAAAATCTTATGTACACAAGTTCCAACATTCTCCAGATATAGTCGATCACAATACTAGAAGTTAAAATCTTTTCTCCAGGTCTTTACTAAGGTCACTTAGAGTTCTTGAAACTCTATGACCCCCTCTTTCAATTGGTGTGTGATCGGTTCCTAGGTGCCTCACGGTTGTATGTACGGTTGTATATGGTGCTTTGAAATCAGATGAATCTTTTTGAATCACCCTGTATTTAAGTTGTTAAGTTGTCCTGTGGAGAATGTGCCAGCATATTGTCACTTACTGATGGGGTTGTTCAAACTTTTTAACTGTTAACGCTATAAGTGGACCTCAGGTGTAAAAAATAAAATACAAGAAAAGTTTAGGATGTGTGCCCTTTAACAGTGGGTGTTATTCATTGTCAAAGTGCAGACTGTTTCAGACTCGGCTTCATTCCTCTGCAGATAACGTACACCATTGCCAAGACATACCAGCCACTGAAACCTGGAACCATCCTGTCCTTCCAGAACGCTGCTTTGGGTAGTATTGGTGAGTGAATACAGTACATGGTTTACCACAGTCCACCCTTATCATCTTTGAGGCATTAGTCACTTTAGTAGCCTGCTGTTTACACACGGTCATTCTTAATTGGAGAGGCGGGGGAGAGTGAATTCCTCTGTTGTAAGAGCCCTTTGAGGCCTCTGTGCGTTCAGCCTCCCATAAAAACAATCAGAACAGGATGTTATTGCACACAGCGATAAGAGCAGGTACAGAGCCTGCACTGACTGCCGGGTGTCCTGTGTGTTGTCCCAACATTTGATATTCAAATGAAATCATATATGCGGAGCAGCTCTGAGGGGGAAAAAGTGCCCGTCAGCCTGATGAATAATGGAAAGAAACCTGACCTGGGCCACCTCCTGGCCTCTGCTCAACCCTGTCAAGCTCTGTATGTGTGGTCAGTTCATGTTCATTGCACTAGACCATTGCATCCATATCACCTCTACCCCAAACAAACTGTTTTTGCGGCTCTGCCAGGCGCGTCCTCAGAGCTGGTGCAAGGCACTGTTTCAGAGTTGGAGCTGCTACTAACAGTCATTTTTGTATTTGATTTATCTGTCGATTTATTTTTTAACTTAATTGACAGTTGATTATGCCTTGTGGTCACCTCTCATTGTGCTTTAGTCAGGGGAGATATGGCTTCTGTTGTTTTATTGCACTATAAAAGAAGAAAGCTTGTTGTAGAAATGAAACTTTAAATGATGGCAGCTGGAAAAGGAGAGAAACATCTGCATAATTTGGTCATAGTCAATCTCAGTCAAAGTGGTTTGATGTTAAATGGTTCATTATTGAGACTTACTGATGCAGATTTCTTTACAATGGTGATGATAGGAACCAGGGATCATGATGACTACAACACAAATATAGCCATTGTATTTACTATCCAAAACCACCAGTGAACCTGCATAAGTTTTAATATACAATGTTGATGATAGTCCTAAATATGAGAAAAAATATGTTTTTTGTTGGGTACAGTTATGATTTGGAATGCCCTCCAGGTAAAATAGATACACTTTAGGCCAAATCCTTATGTAAAACACTATTTCAGGTTATCAGGCAGCATATTCATAACGATAAATGGAAGCCACATTGCCCCCTACGCTTCCTGTAGTGTACCGTAATCTGTCTGAATGAAATGTGTATCATATGAATGTTATAGAGCATTACAAACTACTTTTTTCCATACATCATTGATGACTCGCTGTGGATTTTTTTAATCGTTTACAGAAATGAAGCAGTTCCTGAGCAACCGGCGACGGGACCCTGGCATGAACTGGTTCGAGAGTCCAGCAGACTGGGAGCAGGAGCTAGAGAGGACCGGGGCTGTTGGCTGGAGGGTCAGCTCCGTCAACGACCGCTTTGAAATGTCCACCAGGTATCTGAGCTCTTCCACATCAGCTCAGAGATTAGAGGTGCTTTGGTTCCTGCTGAAGTACAAATCTTAGTGGACCCAACAAAGTGTTTCCCACAGCATAACAGGTCCACTGGACCCCCTCACTGTAGGGCTCGAGCATTTGCAGTCCAGCAGTGACGCTGAGGTGTTTAAAATTCCAGCAGCACTGCTTTGTCTGATCCACTCGTACCAGCACAACACACACTAACATGTCACGACCACGTCAGTGTCACCGCACTGCTGAGAATGATCCACCACCCAAATAATACCTGCTTTGTGGTGGTCCTGTGGGGGTCCTGACCACTGAAGAACAGGGTAACAAAGTATGCAGAGAAACAGATGGACTACAAAGTGCTCCTATATGTTAAGTGGAGCTGATAAAAAGGACAATGGGGTGTCAAGAACAAGGAGGTGTATTTAAAGTGGCTGGTCTGTGTATAAATAGCACTACATATATAGTATTTCGCTGTTGTCAGAAGAAAACCTCGTAACTCCAAAATGACAACTTAACAAGAGAAGGAAAAAACCTACTTTACTTTTAATGTAAGTCAGTGGAATCAGACCTTCTGCCAAGTCATTTTGGGCCGTTTCTTTTGGTCCACTCCTCATGAAATTTACACACAATATAAAGGCCAGCAGGCATTTTCAAATGATACCAAAAACTGAAAAACGACAACAACGGAGATACAAGGTTTTCTTCTGATAGCAGTGATACAGTATTCAGGCTTAAAGTGAGCCTTTAGTATGTGCCTGCAATTATGAGTAATTACTGATAATACATCATGGTCAGTTTCTCGGTCACATTGCCCTGTCCATATTCTCTATTGGTGAGTAGATGGAAATAACTAAAAGAAGATGGAGGATTAACACTGTAATGTAATATTCATTCTGTTAGATAGCTGCATGCTGTAGACAGATGTGTGATCCATATGCTTATTTTCATTTCACGTGTTGTTTTTAACAACCGATTGTTTGTTTTTCTTCGTTTTCTAGCCTCTCTAGGTTTAATGTGGTTCCTCAGAAGGTTCTAGACACGGAGCTGAAGAAGACGTTCGCCCATTTCAACGAGGGTCGCATCCCTGTGAGTCCAAATAACTCACCGTTTGTCACTGTCAGCTGCTTCCAACATCCAGCACATCTGGCTTTGCATCCACACAGTTGTCCTGTGGAGGAATTTACCATGAAGGCTCTGTACAGCGTTACAGTGATTGATGTGATTCTCTCCCTGCAGCGCTGGTGTTGGCGGCACCCCCGCGGCAGCGACCTGCTACGGATGGCCAGCTTCCAGAACAACATCTACCATGAGAAGGACGACATCCGGTGTGTAGCCTTTGAAAAGCATACCTGCGTAAAGTAATGCTCAAATGCACAATGTTTATTTTAACAGTCTGACTGCGAATAAAGAGTAAATTGTATATAAGTAGTAATAAGACTTACACTAACAGTGATTGTGTTGTCTTTGCTGTACAGGAATCTGGAGCTGATTCTTTTCGGAGGGCAGCCGCAGTGTGTGGTGGTGGATCTCGGGGAGGAGATGCCTTCGCCTGCAGACGTGCAGTTAGCACACACACGGCTACGCGCCCTGTGCCTTGGGGGTCAGTGCTCAGGAGATTTACTTTTGTTAAAGGGGAGCTCCATCGATTTTTATTTTTGTTTATATAATTTTATTTTATTTCTCCATTAGTCAATTGTTAAGATGTAAAAAAGTGAGTGGTTTGGTGTGAAATGCTCCGTTCTAGAGAAACTTACCAAGTCAGAATTGTTGACTTTATAGTGGTGGTGATAGGAACCAGACGTCTGAAGTGTATAATGCCTCTAATACGTGCCTCAAAGTGAGTTATTACATTAAATGGTTATGAAAATACTTCCTGATGCCCAAGACATTATTGTATGATAGTTTTGAGATAAATGTTTTGGCTAAAATATACCTTTTAAAATCATTTAATGGTGGTGAGATACATGTAAGGCAAAATAGTCCTCGAAGAAAACTTATCACTGTTTTACCATTAACATTATGTATAAGCACTCAGATAACACATGTAGGTTCACTGGTGTTTTGGACAGCAGTGTTATTTGTGTTGTAGACATGGTTCCTATCACCACCACTGTAAAGAAATCTGCGATTCTTTATAATTGACCATTTCACATCAAACCTCTCTGAATGACTGTATTTACATCTCAGTGGTTGGATTAAGCATACATTTAAAAAAAAAAACGGTGGACTTCCCCTTTAAAACGAGAGTTTAATGTTATTTGCCTATAACTAGATTTCAGTATCATTTATGATGTTATGCAGTGTTCTATAGTGCATCATAATGTCCTCTCATCTGTTTGACAGGATTCACAATTTCATATCCTGATGGCTAGTCAAACCACTGACCAACAGGCTAATAGATGCAACAAAGCTAGCATTAGAGTCACGGAATATCGTAAAGAACAGTTACCACAGCTGTGTGGCGGCAATAAGATATTTAGCTTCCTAGCAGAGCCCCCCGGCATTCACTAGCTGATGAAAAAGCATTTCAAAATCAGTTGTTGTTCCTTCCACCTTCAAGATACTTCACCAGAAAGAAGTTTTTCTAGTGTTTACACCAGAGGATATCACTTTAGAGATTGCAGAGGCACCACTGAAGGATGCAAGGTAGCATGTTTACAACAGATGTAGTTCATTTTGTTTTCAAGTGTCCCCTTAAAGCTGTGGTTTGAGTTAGATCTGGTCCGGGAGAATTCTGTACATATTTTTTCCTGTTTTCCCTGCTCTAACACTCCTGATCCAACTAATCAGCTAATCAGTGAGCTCTTTTTGAGTTGAAGTTGGTGTGTTTGAGCAGGAATATTCTAAAATATGCAAGAAAATCCAGGAAAAACTGGAACTGTGTTGTAGGGGCTCTCGAGTGCAGTTGGCATTGCTGCCTTTGAGTACACAATTATGTCTCAAGGTCAAGGCTGCAGCCGAGGCCCCAAGATACCTCGCTAGTACTGGTATCTGCATTTAACAGTTAAATAGAGAGGACACAACACTCAAGAACCTCTCCAGAACAAGTTTGATACCACTTAAAAACCTGACATCCCGCTCAAAATACAGAATACATCAGAGGAGCAGCAGAAAAGAAAGCCCCCCGCTAGCACACTGAATGAAAATGTTTAATTACATTGCATTGTTCCGAGAACACCAGCAGATTTTCCTTTGACTTTTCCCTTCTTTACGCAAGTGGATTGTCTCTAATCTCCTCAGAAATATCTCCTAAAAAACGAATAACTCATATTTACTGGCTGTTTTTATGTGAAATTGAATAAGTGAATGGTGGGCTCTGACTTTAGTGCAGCGTTGTATTTACACAGTAGCAGAATATAGAAAATAAAAATCTTCTGAAAATGCTATTTTTCTTCTGAAAATGACATCACAATATTGTTACTGTTGATACCAAAATCCAAAATCACCACCTTGAAAATCAAGTCAAGGTGATTAACCTCATCCTCCACTACATTACAATTCTCTAGACAACAGTAACCCAAACTGCAGTGAACATGTGTTGGCATATATTTGTTAATACATGTTAGCAGAACGTTCATGTGACTGGGACACAGTGTTTTTGCAGTTTTGTTTATTGTTGTCATTGTTAGCCTCACATTTTACTGGCGGTTCAGCCACACTGGCCCACAAAATTCCTCAAAGCAGTGTGTGTTAGCGTCACCCTCATATGCCTCCAGCAGGGGCGTGGCCTAACATCCCTCTTCACACGCTACTGCTTAGCCAGTCATAGACCAGCTCATTTTGTTGTGATCATCTAAAGGACTCTGGATGTGGAGGATCCCTCCCATTTCTCCATGCATCAGTTAATTTCTTTCCCTGCTGCTTTGCAGACATTTCGTCATCCGTGTCGGTGCCAGATGACAAGTGGCTTTCCACTCTTGAAGGCACCCACTGGCTGGACTACATCAGGTAGATACGGAATTCTTTGGCTGGACTCTCTGCACAAATGTTCACTTGCTTTCCCCATAAATAACACATATTACATCAACACAGCTGTTGCCAGGGGTGCACTAACTGTCCAAAAGTTTATAGACAGCACTTCTTCTTATCCAGCGTTTCTTCTTAAATCAAGGCTGTTAGTAGAGAGTTTGTCCCACTTTGCTGCACTAACAGCCTCTGCTCTTCTGGGAAGGCTTTAGACTAGATGTTGGAACATTGCTGTGAGGATTTGATTGCAGCCACAAGAGCATGAGCTCAGGTCAGGTACTGATGTTGATGATTACCTCTGGACAGTCCAGCTTATCCTAAAATATGGGATGGAGCTGCATCACTCTAGAGCAGAGGTCACTAATAGGCGGACTGCGGTCCGAGTCCGGACCCAGACGCTGTCTTATGCGGACCTAGACCTATAACCGATAAACTATAGAGAATTATTTCATTTCGACGGGGTGGTCCTGTTTTAATCAGCATAACTTTCTAGCTTTTCCAGTAGCTTTAGCAGCCTGGGAAACTCAAACCAACCAAACAACCAAACGCATACGTTGTACATATCACACGTGACACTACTCAGCCAATCAGATCTGTGCATTACGATGAGCACAGAGACTCGAGTGAGTGACGCACACACAGGGGAGGGACGAGGCGAGAGACAGCAGTCGGAGAAGAAAGTGAGTCAGAGGGAAGTTATTTCGCATGTCGTGCTCTAAAAAGTATTGTTGAAATATCACTGAATTCTACTTTATTTGATTTGACATTCAGTTGTTAACTGTATAAGATGTTGATATACCTACTAGGCTACTTCAGTAAACAGTATATGGCACTGAATCATGATGCAAGTTAGTCATTATGATGTTTCGGACCTTTGCTTGAGGAAATTTTCTCTAACTGGACCTTGAATTTTAATTAATTACCTCTGCTCTAGAGAATGCATTAGGCAGTGGAGCTCTATCCCCTCCTAGCTAATGCCTAACATTTGGCATGGTGGCCTCAGGCCAGGCGTGTCAAACTCAACCACTGAAAGGGCAATATAAAAAGTGTAACCAGAACTGGCCTTTATTTATTATATATATATAGTATGTGTAGTGATATGAATTGTGGAATTGTGGTGTAACTGTGGTCCCATGGGTTGTTTCTGAGGGCGAGGAAGAGGATTGTAGTGCAGCACATTGTTAAATGGGCCAATATTAACAGAAAGTTAACATAATTTCACGTGCCAGATAGGATTGTGCTGCAGGCCTTGTGTTTGACAGAGTTTGACAGTGTCTCCTTTCTGTGGAGATTATTTAAGCCAAGGTCACATGGATCCTTAAAGAGTCTAATAAATTAAAGAAATTCAAGGTCATAAAATGTTTGAAAATGTTTTAATTGTTATGATTAGAGCTATTAAATTCAAAGTGAAAACACTATTCTTCAAAAGTTTGGAATAAATGTTTTTAATAAAATAAATATAAATGAAATTTGTTTGGAGATAAAAGTATAAAATTATTCTAATTTTCCAGGCCTGTACAGCTGTACAGCTTACAAGTCATTTGCAGGAATCTGAGAATGTGAAAACTTTAGATGATTCCAGAACGATAAACAGAGCTGTAGATCATTCTAAAATAACTGAGAAAGCTGTATAACATTCACGATGAAATTAGATTAAAAATGAAGGTTCCGAATCCTTTAGAGTTTCAAAAGTAGCAGAATATTAGTCTAAATTGATGTATAACGTTAGATTATATTGATTATCATTTTATCAGTTTCCTATTGTTCCCAAAACTTGGAATACTGAGTAAACAAGATTACCTGTACATTATTATTGAATGTAAAAAATAAAGTTTATAATTAAAAGTGGTTCCAAGCTTTTGAATGGTAAAGTTTAGTATAATATAGTTTAGAATTTTAATTTGAAGAAGCCACTGTGTGTTTATATTAGGGTTAAAAGCTGTATTGTTCATTTCTGATATGACTGTTTTACTCATTATAAACCATTATAGATCCACTTCAGTTGTTAACTGTGGTGCATATAGAGAGAGAGAGAGAGAGAAAGAAAGAGAGAGAGAGAGAGAGATGTGAAACACCAAATATGATATGTATCAAAATCACCAGAAATCTTAATTATACAGTGATATACGTTTTTGGACATATCACTCACTGCTAGTAGTGTCTATAAAGACCGAGTTCAAACGAGTACTGTTTATATTAAACTAAGAGTAAACTCAACGTTAATTCATGCTATATTCGAGTTTGTGCTTGGTGTTGTGTGGTGGAAATGGTGTTATTTTTCCTTTGCTGATGTCTTAAAAAGATATTGGAAAGTGTTGAATCTGAATTTAAAATGCACAACAGCCCCAATGAGCAGTGCAGCAGTTGGATGCTCAGTAATGGGTGCACCTTAAAGAAGAAGCTGAATTCACTAATTAGAAGGAGTGTCCGGATACTTTTGGACATATAGATTTAGTACACAGGAAGACAAGATTGTGTGCTTTTCATTTGCCTCTTCTGCTGACCTTCTTGCAAAAATAAATGTATTTACTGGAAAACGTTGTTCACTTGAATTCATGTGTGTTCTGTTTATGAACACAAGTCAGTAAATGAATTAAGAGACCCAGATGACTCATAAACATTTTCCATAAACCCACTGATCAAGTTACTGCTTACTGCTAATTTGAATCAAGAGGAGCTGACTCATTCACTTCATAGGCTGAGTGAATTTAACTAGTTCAAAACGTTTCTATTCTATTAAATGTTCTGTGATAATCTAAGCAGGACCGTACATGAGGAGAGAGCTGGTGTTTGATGGAGTGCAGTAATTATACATTCTAAATAAGTTATCATGCCGTTCTGTATTTGTTTAGATGCTGCCTGAGAAAAGCTGCAGAAGTGGCCTGCTTGCTCAGACGAGGTCACCTCACTGTTGTGCTGCAAGGTGAGTACTGTTGGTTGCTTATAAAAACATTGCGACTACTAACTTTACAACTTATTTGGAGCCATAAGTAATGTAGAAACACAGAGAGTGTGGCTGTAAAGCAGGGATGGGCTTCTGATGGGGCCTTTGGGACCAGTGCCAATGGTCCTCCCACTACTGGGGGACTTGGGGGGCTATAAATCTGCAGATGTTGATGTTAGATGAACAGCTAGTCTTAGAATACGTACAAAAGACAAAATTAATAATAGTAATGTTTGAAGTTTTATATTATTATATTATTATTATTAATTATGTTTTATGTTAATATCTGCTCCTGGGGTTTCATTGTTGTTGTTTAAATGGGATGTTTTAACTGGTGAGTCATAGTGATGTTAGTTGATGTTAGTTTAGCCTCCCGCGTATTTAGATCTGCTTCTCTTTTTGCATTACGACGCATTTTGGTTTAAAGAGAGGTACATCTGCTTATGCTCAGCTTTGAGTAGCTAGAAAGGTCCCATGAAGCATCAGATCAGTACTCATGCAGTGGTTCTGGAGCTGTTCTGTGAAACAGAGTGATAATATCTGTACGTGTGACTGTGAACTGTCATGTTCCAGATCTGAAGTGGACTTAATAAAAATAGAAATTTCCGTTCTTTCAGTTCAGAACAATGTTAAAGGTGTGAACCTCCGAGCACACGATTCAATTTGACTGTGATTCTTTAGGAAACGATTCTCGTGAAATCTTAAATATGACTATGATTTGATTCAGTTAGGTATTTTTGGTACAATTCAGAATCATTAAAAATACATTAAATACATAGTGTGACTGCTACAGTACAAAAAGTCAGAGCATTCCTTTTTTTATTTCATTTCCAGTTAAAACAACCAATAAGCATAAGTTGTTCATTTTTCAGCATCAGAAAATGTGTTTAATAAAATGCGGAAAATGTGTTTAATAAAAAGCCTCAATATATAATAATATAATTTTTCAGTATTCAGTGTATCCAGATTTTGCCTTATTACAGCTTCCATTCTTTCAGGAGACTCGATTTCAGTTTTTCAGAGAAGTCTGCAGGGATATTTTTCCACACCCTTTGAAGTTGAGTCTGAGAAGTTGGTTGCATTTTCTGTTTCTGACAATCCAAGTAATCCAGACACATTCAGTGATCTTGAGGTCTGGACTCTTAGGTGGACAGTCCGTTGTTCTGAGAACACCAGCAGATTTTTCTTTGACTTTCCCCTTCCTTACACAAGTGGATTTTCTCTAATATAGATAATAAAATTACACCTGGCCTTTTTGGGAGAGATTCTCATAGTTGAAAAAAGCCTAAAAATAATATTTCTCTTTGGAAAATGACTTAATATTATCACAATATTATTATTGTTGATTCCAAAATCTAAAATCACCACCTTGAGATTCATCGTGACGTTTTTATGCCCCTAATGTTAGTCAGAGATCTTATGAAGCACAAAGACATGACCTTTTTGCTTTCTCGTAGACTATAATAAACACTGACGTCTTTCAGTTCTCACTCATTTTCTCCAAACCCTTCCATTAGCTGCTCTCAGAGCGCCTTACAGTAACCTTTCAATAAAATCTCTTTCTTAGTGCTTTGACTACCGGTAAATAATGCTGAAATGACTGTGAAATGGCTTTCTCAGATGCTCACCCATCCATCACTGAGAAACCTGTTCACCAGATGTATTGTGAGCAGAATGAAGCCAGTGCTGCCACAAGAGGGCGCCAAGTGAAAGGTTTTGTTACATAGGGTGCAGTTTGTGATTGTATCTTCCTGTTGTGTGATTCATTATTTTAAGGTGATTCTGAGGGTTTTTATTCTATTCTTTTTCTAATCTACCTGTTTGTTTGATTCATTTACACTTGTCTGGTAATACTTGGTTGTTTACCTCATTACGTATTGCTTCATGTTCTGGGGTCTTTGTTTCACACACAGAGTAAGTAGCAGTAGTTGGTGTGGCAATAAAGATAATAAAAACCTGAGAAAATGAATTTCAGAATATTACTGTGCTTTTGAAGGTTTATGCCAGATTTTGACCCAGTTTTTTTTACCAAAGTTAGAAGTTCTATGTCTGACCAACACAACTGTATTACATAAGACTGTGTAGAACATTGTTGAGATACACAGACATTCTAGGACTTAAAGGAATGGGTTGAAAAATCCAGTCATTTTTCCTCTTCCCACAAATGTAGCGATTTTGGATGGCATATGAACCTGAATACAGCTCGGGAATTTTCAGTCTGAGCCTGAACGACACACAGTATCACATTTTGAGTCCAAGTCCTACAAAATTTTGTCCGACCTGACCCGGCCCAAACCGGTTTTAAGTCCAAAACTGGCCTCAGTATGACAAAATTTTGCCGCAGTCTGACCTGAATTGGCCAAACAGCACCCAAAGGGCAGAATAACACTGGACAGGATGGGGCTCGCTGCAGTGCAGTGATAATAATACAGCAGCTAGAGCGCTGATAAGTCAAATATAAAACAAAACAAAACACTGCTCTATGATAAAATAATCAGCTCTCCAAAACGCTTAAATTGTGCTTTAGGACATTTATCAAGTAATGCTTTCAAATGGAACAATTCAATGGAAATCCATCTGCTTCCACTTGTATTTACTTTATAGAAACATGGCAATATGTATAAAAATATGCCGACACGTTGCGGCGTTCTCCGGCCTTAATCGGGACACAGACAATGGCATATCCATGATTTTCCTCTGGGATTTATTTTGCACATGCCTTGTGGATGCAGATGGATTTTCTGGTTTTCGCCACTCCCAGCATGGAATTGTTACTTTAAGTTTGCTGCACTCATGTCCATGGAGCACCTCTTCATTTTTGTGACCTCTGCAGCGCTTCTTCAGTTTAATTTTTCATGCTTTCAAATGGTTTTTGGTCTGGAAAAACTTGCCATAATGCGCTATATGAACTGACATATCTGTTTCTGAAAATGCATAGAACAAGTTGAATATATAACATCAAAACAAATTTAACGTTCATTTGTCTGCACTTAAAGCTCTTTTCCAGAATCGATTCTCTGTTTATGCTGTTTTCCCATGTGTGTGGGCCTTGTGGATGTCAGTGCTGAGTGGGTGACCCCAGCGGTTCATTAGCAGTAGGGTAATCTGTTAAAAGTAGGATGTGGGCTGTGAGAACCTTAACATGAAATTTGAACCCAACCTGAGACAAATGTTTTAAAAAATGATGACAAATGTTTCAGGCTTTACCGTAGACTTCCATAATATATTACATATATTAGCTTCGTAGCTCCATTTCACCAGTGGAAAGAAGCTGCTTAGCTTAGTAAGAGTAGGATGCCTTAATACAGCTTAGTTCATTGTAATGATTCCAACTGATGCTCAAATTCTTGCATACATGTTATATTTTGTATGTTTATCAGAAGCTTTTTCCCCTGACAGAGTCAGAGGACCGGGACATGAACTGTGTGGTGTCCAGCCTGGTGCAGGTGATGTGTGACCCACACTGCCGGACAGTGGCAGGCTTTCAGGGCCTGGTGCAGAAGGAGTGGGTCATGGCAGGACACCGTTTCCTTAGCCGCATCAACTACCACCGAGACAGCGACAAAGAAGAGGTATGTACATGTGTCTGTGTTTGTGTTTGAAAGAGGATAAGTCTGCAGGTCTGGGTGTTTGTTTTCCTGCTCTTGGATTTCACTACACAGTCCAACTTTCACTTCACACTTTGATCCAACTCTCACTCTCTCAGCATATGTGAGTCTTCTTCAGTCCTGAAGGAAAAACATTCCTCCTGAAGCTGCTTATGAGAATTCCAGGAGTGTAAAGCTCCAGCAAGGCAAAGGGAGGAGGCTACTTTTACGAATCTGAAAGATTTGGGATTTGTTTGGATTTGTATTTGTTTAACAACTTTTTGGTCACTACATAATTCCGTATACAATATCATATAAGGAAATGGTTCATCGAAAAAATCTGATTTACACAATTTTCCACTTGATGTAGTCGATCGATTTTTGACGTTTAATTTATGCTGCTTTAGTTTAGAACTTGAGCGGCGAGGCTATCCTCGCTAACAAAAGCTAGAACTCAGTAGTCACCCAAATAGCCCAAATCATTTCATTTCATTTCATACAAATATCACAATCAACATCACCAAAACTTGTTTTCAACCTGCATCCTGGTCTTCAGTACGGTCATGCAGACTTTTTGATGTGGTTTAGAGCACCGTGTGTCTCACTGTGAGCTATCAAAACTGCAAAACAGTCACTTTAGATAACAGGATCTGTATTTACAAAGCACCTCAGGAGTTGGAGTGCCGACCTAGAATCAGTATTTGTGACAGTGGCCATCATAAATGCAGAGGAACCTGATCCAAGATCCGTCCTGCTTTGTGAATACCAGCTCTGGAGTTGTTTGAAATGATTTTTATAGCTCACAGTAAGTCTTGTGCTCTAAGCCACATCGGCAAGTCTACATGACCTGAATGAAGACCTGGATGTGATTTGAGGGAAATTTTGGGGATGTATTTTTCAAGAAACGATTCGTGCTATTTAGGTGACTGTTAAGCTCTAGTGTTTGTTAGCAACATTAGCCTCGTAGTTCCTGCGTTTCTATGATACTAAATTTAAGTAGAATTTTAAACATCCAGCAAAATTTGAATGAAAAAAGAGAGAAATGTAGTAAAAAACACTGATCAGACCCATCTGAGATCTGTGTAGGTATGGCCTGTTATTCTGATGAGAACAATTGATTGACAGTCATCAGCAACTATTCTCAGCACAGTAGTGTTGTTATGGCTCCCTCTTGGAAAAAAGCCTGTCCTCAGCATGCATTCACAATGTGTTTATAACTAAATGAAGTGTGATGTGTTTCCTGTGATAGGCCCCCATCTTCCTGCTCTTTCTGGACTGCGTGTGGCAGCTGTGGGCTCAGTTTCCTGCCCGCTTCCAGCTGACTGAGGACTACCTGCTGGCCCTCCACGACAGCCTGCACCTGCCTCTCTTCAGTACCTTCCTGGCCAACTGCCAGAGAGAGCGGTGTCGACGCTCGCAGGTACACAACTACAGGTGCAGACTGACCTTAAAAGGACGCAGCTCGCTTGTCTGGAGATTTATTCCCACTGTGATATAAAATTTTTTTTACTCACTAAATTCAGTTCCCTGGAGCACTAATGAATATTCTACAGTGTAAGTGTCCAGCTCTGGTCCTGAAAGGCCTTAGTCTGAGACCGTTAGAGATGCCAGTCAGTTTATGTGGAGTGAATGTGCAGAGGTCGGTACAAACTGTGCTGGACACCGTTCACATACATGTGAGATTTGTGTTTCACAATACATAAAATGATCAGTTGTACAGAACAGTTGGGGAAGCATGTGTTGCAGATTATGCCAGTTCATTTCAGGAGGCTGAAATTGGACACACCTCATCACCGTGTCAGGTGGAATCAGGTCTTCAGTGGGTGCCAGGATTAGTTTATGCCACTTTTAGCTGTCCCAGCTGTGGCTTCAGGGTCCCAGAGGACCCCAGGAAAGATCAAATATGTGAACGTGTGTTTAATCTGTCTTCCTGAAAGATCATAGATGAAATTTAATGCAGTGTCTTCTTGCTCACCTTTATCTTATACATATATTGTACAAGTAATAAAAATATATTTGTAGTTCATAATTATAATAATTGTATATTATTACAACCCCAAAAAAGTTATGATGCTGTGTAAAAAAAAAAAATTAAATAAAAAAGAATGCAATGATTTACAAATCTCTTAGACCCATATTTTATTCATAATAGAACATAGAACACATCAGATGTTGAAAGTGAGACATTTTATCATTGCATGAAAAATATTAACCTATTTAGAACTTGATGGCAGCAACGCCTCTCAAAAAAGTTGGGGCAGGGCCACGTCTACCATTGTGTAGCATCCCCTCTTCTTTTAACTACAGTCTGTAAACGTCTGAGAAGTGAGGAGACCAGTTGCTGGAGTTTTGGGAGAGAAATGTTGTCCCATTCTTGTCTGATGTAGGATTCTAGCTGCTCAACAGTCCTGGGTCTTCTTTGCCAGATTTTTCGTTTCATGATGCGCCAAATGTTTTCTGTTGGTGAAAGATCTGGACTGAAGGCAGGCCAGTTCAACACCCGGACTCTTCTTCTGCGAAGCCGTGCTGTTGTGATGGAGCAGTATGTGATTTAGCATTGTCTTGCTGAAATATGCAAGGTCTTCCCTGAAAGAGACGCTGTCTGGATGGGAGCATATGTTCTTCTAAAACCTCTATATACTGTTCAGCATTGAAAGGGCCTTTCCAAATGTGTAAGCTGCCCACGCCATAGGCACTAATGCAGCCCCAGGCTTTTGAACTGTGCACTGATAACAAGCTGGATGCTCCCTCTCCTCTTGAATCCACAGGACACGGCGTCTGTGGTTTCCAAAAAGAATGTCAAATTTTGATTCATCTCACCATTTTGCCTCAGTTCATTGTAAATGAGCTTTGGCCCAGAGAAGATGGTAGCGTTTCTGGATCGTGCTGACATATGGCTTCTTCTTTGCATGATACAGCTTTAGCTTGCATTTGTGGATTGCATGGCAAACTGTGTTCACAGACAATAATTTCTGGAAGTGTTCCTGAGCCCATGCAGTGATTTCCAGTACAGAATCATGCCTGTTTTCAATGCAGTGCCGCCTGAGGGCCCGAAGATCACGAGCTTCCAATATTGACCGTCAGCCTTGTCCCTTGCATGCAGGGATTTCTCCAGGATTTCTTGCACGCAAGGATTTTGATGATATTATGAACTGTAGATGGTGGGATATTTAAAGTCTTTGCAGTTTTAAGTTGAGGAACATTTTTCTGAAGTTGTTCCACAATTTTTAGATGCAATTTTTTGCAGATTGGTGAACCTCTGCCCATCTTTGCTTCTGACAGACGCTGCCTCTCTAAAACGCTCTTTTTATATCCAGTCATGTGAGTTAGTTGCAGATTGCTCCTCCAGCTGTTTTTTATTAGTACAACTTACTTTTGCAGCCTTTTGTTGCCCCTGCCCTAACTTTTTTGAGATGTGTTGCTGCCATCAAGTTCTGAATGAGTTCATGTTTTTCATGAAATGGTAAAATGTCCCACATTCGACATCTGATATGTTTTCTCTGTTCTATTGTGAATAACATATGGGTCTATGAGATTTGCAAATCATTGCATTCATTTTGTTTTTTTTACATTTTGTATTTACATTACACAGCGTCCCACCTTTTTGGAATTGCGGTTGTAGAAAGGTAAAATGAGAAGTGATTATTATTGTTATTATGACATTGCAGGATGTTTCACATTCACATTTATATGTGTATTTTGGTTTATCATTATAAATGTAAGCTGTCTTACTGGATTTTATTCGCTTTTGATAAAATGATTTGCTTGAACTGAACCTCTCTGCAGCACCTGCCCCAGAGCTACACCCCTGTAAACGGTCTGAGGGAATTACCCAGAGGCTCGGCCGAGGAGCCGGTGGACCCTCCCTACCCTCCTGTGTGGGACTGGCCTTTGCAGTACAGCAGCCAGAGACGAGCCCTCTTCAGCCAGCCTGTCTGCCAGCCCTGCTCCCCTGAACCTGTTCTCAATGGAAACCTCAACACCAACACCAACATGGAGCCCAACTGGGTGAGGCTGCGGGTGGAGCACAAGGCTCAGAGGCAGGAGCGTCATGCAGATAAAATGTTGTGGAAAAACCCATGTAGAGGTTTTTTCTAGAGCATGTAGAGGTGTTTTTAAGAGGAAATATAGGTTTATGGTAGACGATGTAGAGCTGTGTTTTTTAGAAGTTGCAGAGGTGTTTCGTAGAATATGTAGAGGTGTTTTGTAGAGGATATAGGTGTGTATGGTAGAGCATGTAGAGGTGTTTTGTACGTCTAGAGGTGTTTTGTAGAGGATGTAAAGGTGTTTTGTAGGTGACGTAGAGGTGTTTTGTAGAAGATATAGAGTTTTGACGAGGAAATAGAAGTGTATTGTAGAGGATGTAGAGGTGTGTTTTGTAGAGGATGTAGAGTTGTTTCGTAGAGGATGTAGAGTTGTTAGAGGAAGCAGAGGTGTTTCATATAATTTGTAGAGGATGTAGAGTTGTTTTGAAGAGGAAATAGGTGTGTATGGTAGAGAATGTAGAGGTGTTTTGTACATCTAGAGAAGTTTTATAGAAAATGTAAATGTTTTGTAGGAGATGTAGAGGATATAAAGGTGTTTTGTAGGAGACATAGAGTTGTTTTGTGGAAGATGTAAAGGTGTTATGTAGAAGATATAGAGTTTTGAAGAGGAAATGGAGGTGTATGGTAGAGCATGTAGATTTGTTTTGTAGAGCTGGTAGAGGTGTTTTTAGAAGATGTAGAGGTGTATGGTAGAGGATGTAGAGGTGTGTTTTGTAGAAAATGTAGAGGTGTTTTGTAGAGCATGTAGAGGTGTTTTTAGAAGATGTGGAGGTGTATGGTAGAGGATGTAGAGGTGTATGGTAGAGGATGTAGAGGTGTGTTTTGTAGAGCATGTAGAGGTGTTTTTTAGAAATATAGTGATATAAAGGTCAATCAGTCCTGGGTGATGCCATGGCCATCTTTGGCTGGGAGTCCATAGGTGTTTTCATACCTACGTAGTTTGGTGTGGACCAATAGATTTTCCACTATGTGTAGTCGATCGGCTGAGACGTGTTTGGTGTCCAATTAAAACAGCTTCACATCCTCTGCAAAAAAAATGTGTTTTGTAGAGGATGTTGAGGTGTTTTGTGGAGGATATAGTGGTATTTTGGGGTTCACCCTATGAGCAAAAGCTAAAGTGAGATGATAAATGAAGGGGTAATTAATCACTAGCTAATGAGACTTGCTTGTGTTGAGTCCATGAATGCTAATTAAATTTTTAGGCTATCCTATCTTTTTAGGCTGTCCTAGTTGAGCAAAAGGACAAGGGTGTTCTTTTTAAAACGAGGCCGGCTTTAAAAAAAACAACTGTGCCAAATTTAATTCCCTCTTCTAATTAAATTCTCAGCCTGAATATAACACCTCATTGCCTTGTTCATAGAGCATCAAACCAAGCTGCCTCTGCAGCCTGTAGCTCATTTTCTCTCTCTCTCTCTCTCTCTCTCTCTCTCTCCCCCTATCCCCTTCCTTTGTTTCTTTCTCTCTCTCTCTCTCTCTCTCTCTCTCTCTCTCTCTCTCTCTCTCTCTCTCTCTCTCCCCCTCTCTCCTCTCTCTCTCTCTCACAGCTCAGTGACGGTGTTCCAGGCTCTGTATTCCTCCTCTCTCGGAGCTCCTTCTCCTGCCCATCTAACTTGCTGCCTTGGAGAAGTGGAAGCGGTTCAGGCTCATATAGAAAGAGCCACCGTAGAGCTCCGTCCTCGGAAAGCCTGCCTGCTCTGGAGCGCCTCATTAAAGCCTGTGGCCAGCCAGACACCCCACAAGACTTCCACGACCCTCACCAACCCCTCATCCCCCTACTTCTGGGGCCCTGCATCCGCATCTGGAGGAACTGCTACCTGAGAGGAGCACTGCATGCGCAGGTAGGCCTATAACATCTTTTACTACTATAATAATAACATTGGATTTTATGCATTAATGTAGATATCTGAGTATTTTTATTTAGTATGTGTTGTATATTTCATTTCTATATAGTGTTGCTACATTAATTATTATGATAACTTTATATTCTATCTATACATTTTAAAGCGAACAGCTTTACAGAATGATGAAACAGGTTGAAATTCAAAGTACATTAGAAGAACGATGAATACAATTTTTAAAATGTAACAGAAAAATAAATGACAAAAATGGTTGTAGGAAGGCGCTGATCCTGCAATATTAAAGAAGTTTTAACTCCTAGAAATCAAGGCTAATTATTGAGTCATTAACCTTTTGGTCTTTATAATTATTGGTCAGTAATTACTATGAGTTATTCTGTGGGTACCATGAAACTGATATGTGAGTTACATAGTTTCAAGTGTAAGGAACTGATGCAGGGGCCCATTTACGGGCTTTAGGGTTGTTGGGATTCAGGTACCTTTATAGCAGACCCACAGGTTAAGGTTTAAGATTTTCTTCTTTCAGGCTTTCACGCATCCAATGTCTTCCAACTCGCGGCACCCCGTGGAGCGTCTGGCCTCAGAGGTGGAGCACCTGCGAGAGCGTTTGGCCCAGGCCTCTACAGGGCGCCCTTCAAACCGAAAGAGACACGAGCACCGCCGCCTCGACTCGAACCTCAACCAGAACGCCAACAATGGCACCTTCCTCTTCTCCTCCTCTTCCTCTTCCTCCTCCTCATCTTCTTCCTCCTCTTCCTCTTCTTCCTCCTCTTCATCCAGGACGTCCCAACAGGAGAGCCCCTGCCGTATTTCGGGGCGTCCACCCACAGCCCCCCGGTACAGAGATGGTGGCGGCAAGCACACATTTCTGTTCGGCCACCAGGGGGAGCCGCAGGGCAGCCAGCGCTATGCCCCCAGCCCCAGTGCCAAACTGCCCAAGAACAGCGGCCCAGCTGGGGCCAAGACACACTGAGGTGTAGGTAGGGAAGAAGAACATAAACAATGCACTTGTGACTCAGTTAGTGGATAAATCTGCCGGACCAACGTGGACCAACCGTTAGCAATATTCTACGCAGTTGTCCTAGACCAGGCTGTCCAGTTTTATTCGCAAAGGGTCAGTGTGGCTTCTCAAACAAGCGAGAGCTCCTGAAACACTTGTTTTGGAGTGAAAACATGCAGCCACAGCGTCCCTTTTGTGGATAACATTGGACCTGTGTCCTAGACTACAACACTTTCATACCCGCCAGCCATTTCGGTGGTTTGTCAATAATATTTCTTAAAAGAATCTGCCAGATCTGTAGCACAGCGTCGATTACTGTGGACAGTAGTTTTCCTATTATTGGGGCTCACATATAGTATTAGCTGTATTGTCAGGAGCTCACACGTTCAACCCTGGGTGATGCCGTAGACGTCTGAGTCCAAGGGTGTTTTCACACATACTTGTTTGGTGAGAACTAATAGAACTTGAGTTTCATTCCAAAATGCTATAATATGGATTTGTAACAGTTTTGGATGTAACAAGTTTATGAATAGAAGTGCATTTGATTTTGGCATATGGATTCTGGAACATATTTTTGGCCAAACATCAGCGACCTCAGTGATTTGTATTTAATTTGACAAACAAATCAATTATAAAGAAGCAGACAATTATAAAGAAGCCAGTTTTTTGGCTTTGATTGTGACGCATATCGACGTAAACTGTCTCTAATTGTAATGGGTAGGATAATATATTTATATCAGGAATATATGTGAGGAACAGATTTTGTGTTTTAATGCAATGATAGGCCAATGAAAGTTAAACACGGTCCGTTTGTGGTACTGATGGAACACCCACATTTGTGATTTGGTGCTGTTATAATGTGAAACCAACCTTTGCGTACGGTCAAATCTGATCGTTACATGGCCGCACGGAAATTTCACCAACAGTTTTGTTGTGGTTGTGTTTAGTTTTTGTTTGGCCATATGTTTATCAAAAACTTGATAACTTGATTTATAAAATGGCTTGTTTTGTGGTTAACTAACCAAAACTATTGTCCGTATCATCTATAATACCAATAATTTGAATAAAAATAGGGAATAACAATAAAACTAAATTAGTATGCATGGCGATCCAGTTCAAAAGAGCATTACACTGTGCTTTTGTTTTATACTGCTGACACCACCCCAAAAATACAAAACACAGCTAAAATACAAAACCGTGCAGAAGCATCTCATACACTGCAATAATACACTGTTTAAATGTTATTATTAATAAAATAATCATGCTATTCAATTACAATATTTTATTGTCTTAAAAACCTCATGTTTTGTTTATTTCGCATATTCTTTACAGCCGTCATAATCTTAACATTAAAAAGTTTGATCAATGGGGGAGCAGCACACTCACTGCTTGACCTCAGACTCCTACGAGCTCAGCCATTGGCACATGAGCCACTGAATGCTGTCGTTTTATAGGCTCCTTACTGGAACTGGGAGTTTCATGCGTATGATACGTAAATGAGGTGCTGGTTGGCTGGCACTTGATTTCATGCGCTGCGCTCAAATCTCTGCTTGTTTCCATGTCATACAAAACTTTTGCTAATCAGACAGATTGTGCATCATTAAAGGTGGTCAATTCAAGTAGGTGTGAAAACAGCCCAAGACAGCATAATTGGTCTCCATGATAATGGACCATACGCTACACGTTTGGCAGAAACATTAGGCTGGTGTGCACCTTAAAGCACCAATGATCGCGATGAAAACCAAGATAATACGCAGATAATGCACAGCATTCTTCCATCGGAGTTTCTTCCAAAACATTTCTTGGAAGTTACTTACTTTGTATATAGTAGTTATGTATTGTAGGTAATTGTAGACATATAGACATATCATATTTTTCAAGCTTAATTTCAAAATGTGTTCACTGATTCTATCCTAATGCACAAACAGAGGACATAAACCTAAACCTTTAAAGAAGTAGATCTGTCCAGTAGTGATACAGGGGGCACATAGAGAGGGAATGAACTAATTATGCAATAGTAATGCAATGGAGGTGTTGTGCTTTGTGACGTGAGTGTGTGAACTGCTTAAGCCTTCTGTACATTATGCCAAATAGTAATTTGATCATTTATCGTCTGAATCGGTATAGAAGGCTTTGATTTGGTTAGCTTAAGTGTGCTTTTTTTAATGGGACGCTGATAATAGTGATATTTTACCTTCCCGTCCATAAAGACAGGAAAATGGCTGCTGCTCATTCCATGAAGAATTAGGTAAGAGATTTCCCTCATCACCACTAGAGGGAGACAGTGTCTATGGGACCACATGATGATCTATTGGGAATTAACCTGGATATTATGACACAGTATCTGTTGCCTGAGGGGGGGAATCTGTACACAGAGGCACAATGCAAGCTGTATATATTGCATCTAATGATTTTAAATTCCAGTATTAATTAACTGAAAGTAGAAAGACATTTCAGAAGAAGATAAACAACCTTTTTGCATCATCTAAGTTATTTATAACTTCCTTCATCTGCATTTTTGATTAATATTTAAGTATTATTTCTTACTGTAGCATTTATGGATGGTAATGTAGTTTGTTAAATCATGATGAAAGTGAATCGTGTGTGTGGATCAGGTGATAATGGGCTGTTTATTGTCAGGACGTACTAATATTTAATGAAATGTTTTTATTGTAATGTTTATTTTTGATCACTGATACATTAACGTGTTCACTGGTACTCCAACATCAGCATTAATGCACAGAGTTTTGGTGCCTCTTTCAGCAAAGTGTATTTATTTGTTTGTGTATTTTCACCGTCTTAAGCAAACCTCCAAAATATGGACTGTGTATAGTACAGTTTGCTGTACTTGTGAGGTAAAGTCAGCGTTCATTGTGCAAGTAAATAAAAGTAGTCACTTTTTCAGGAGGTTTTCTTAAGGCAGTGATGATACCTCGATGTCTTAGATGGAAATTCCATCAAATTTCGGTTTATATCGTCGATGTAAGCAGTCATTTAAAGTGGTTTTGATGTGAAACAGTGCATGCTTATATGCATATACATATATCTCCAAAATGGTAACTTCACAGAACAAAGGAAAAAACCTTCTTTGCTTTTAATGTAACTCAATGATACCAGACATTTCTCCCATGTCATTTTGTTTCATTTCTTGTGGTCCATTCATCATGCAATTTAAACACAATGTAAAGGGTAACAGGCACTTTTAATTATGTCAAAAACCTAAAAGCTACAAAAATGGAGATACAAGGTTTTGTCTCAACAGTGGCGAGACATTTATATATATTGTATAAATTATATGTTCTTTTTTTATCTCCAAAATAGTAACTTTAAAGGAGAAAGTAATACCTTTCTTTACGTTTAATGTAAGTTAATGTGAAGAGGTTTTAATGTAAAGGACAGATACCATGAAAAATAGTCATATATAAACAGATACATAAACCTTTCTCCTTTTAGACAGTAACTAAATTGATGTCTTCAAGTAGCTGCACCTGTCCCTGTGGAGTAATGGCATCTGAAAGCTTAGATTAGATAATATTAGTCATAAAATAAATCTTTCACATTCTCACTCCTAATATGTCTTGCTCAAACCCATAAATTGGGTTGTTACAGGAAAACGTAGCTCGGCAATTTTGTTATATCCGCATTTTTTAGGAATATGTGAATATTTTGTCCATTGACAGCCATTCATTTTACAGCACAAGAAGGGAACACCAATATATTCACTTTTTGAACACAGCAGCTGCCCTTTATGTTGTGTAAAAATGTCATGATGAATGGATCAATAGAAATGCTCCAAAATTTCTTGGAATAGAATCTCTTTTCATTAACTTTCATTAAAAGTAGAAAATATTCTGCATATATATATATATATATATACAATTTATCGCTGTTGTCGGGAGAAAACCTATCTGCGTTTACATTTTTCAGTTTTTGACATAATTTGAAAGTACATGTTAGCCTTTACATTGTGTGTAAATTTTATGATGAATTGACCAAAAGAAATGGGCCAAAATTACTTGGGGGAAAAAAGTCTGATTCCATTGACTTAAATTAAAAGTAGTTTTTTTCCTTCTCCTGTAAAGTTATTTATGTGTGTATATATATATGTATGTACGTACATCTGTTTTCTTATCATCACTACTGTGAACAATTGTGTCTGCAAGTTTCTCTGAAATCTTGTATTTTACATCAAATCACTCTGAATGACTTTGTTTACATCATAGCCATTTAATACCACAGAAATTTAGAAAACTCTGTGAACTTGCCCTTTACATGTGCGACATTGTGAGAGCAAACAAATGTTAGTCGTGAAAATGTTGTAACCTGTTTGTATGATGTAGAAATCAGGATGCTGGTGAGTTGTTCTGTTTTGATGTGAGATCTGAACTGAAAGCATGGTGACCTTAATCCCACTCGCTGTCTAAGCTCTGTCAGTGTGTTGTACTTGAAGTCAAGGTACTCGTCAGATATTACAATAAGGTACATTCTTATTCTTTGAGATGAAAGCAGCACGAACTGCACCCGGCTTTCAAAGTGGACCCTGTTGAATTACTATGTGTTACATAAAGTGAAGTATGTGACTGCTGGAAAAACTGTGCCTACATCCGTTTTCTGCCATGACTACACCGCGGTTCTAAAAGCTCCTGACTCCTACGGATTGAACAGAGCTTTTCAGTGTTTATCGGCTGCCGGAACGTCAGCTTGCGTAAGCACGGCTTCCGTTCAGGGAAACGACCCGGAGTTTGTTCCTGCTAATTGATCCTCTGCGGTCATTCTTTGTCGGTTGAAAGGAGCACATGAGTTATTGCAGTCGTTATTGTGCTGTTCTCACAGCCTGTCAGCGTGATGGTTTGTTCATAGAGGTGCTGGAAACAGAACTCATTTCCCCTTTCTGCTTTTTTTCCCCCCTCCCTCTGATTTGTATCAGTGTACAGTGGCTTGTTATAGATCAATAAATCTAGACCTCAGTTACTACAGATGTTCTGAATGGCTTATTTCATTGAAAATGCAACACACGGGTCAATATCTGTGACATTTTATATCTTATCAAAATAAATATTTACAACATTGTCACTTTACAAGAAGCATCACATAAATATTTCCATATAATGCAAAAAAATACTTTGTAAGATCCACAGCACTGGATACAAAAGAAACCATGAGTACTGAAAATGTTCAGGCAAACAGGTCATACTGTTACGTTTAGGTTCTGCATGTAATCAGGCATCAAACACTAGAAAATAGAAAAGACTGTAACTTAAATAATCTAGAAATCGACTCTTTAACCACCCTGTTTTTCCTTATTAACTGCAGTCAGGAATGCATGATGATACCGGAAGATGTTTGCTTAAAAAAACAAAACAAAAAACAGTATCGGCTTCAGATGTTTAGATTTGACCCACGTTTCGATATGTGTTCATTGTAGAGTGTTTACAGTTGTGTGCAAAAGTTTTGGCACCCCCGGTCAAATAACTGATTACTATATTTCTTGATTTTCTTAGAATCAGTTAAAATAACATGTCCTCTATAGAGAACACACTTCTGCACAATTGAATTCACAATGTTAAATGCAGTTTATATTATGCAGTTTAACGTTTTATTTTTGTTCCACTATGTTAAAACACAGCAAATAAATAGAAACAGCATTAATTTTGTCAGAAAAATGCTATATTTATGGCTGTTCCACTTAGAGGATGTGTTACTGTGTAGGAATAAATGTCTTATTTCTTTCTAAAGCTAATCCAGGTCAATCTAGTCCCAGTGCATGCATTTAATAGAGCTGTATGCAAATTTTTGAACACCTCAGACTTGGTTTTGTTTCTAAGAGAAATTAAGTACATCGTTTTTACGTGAATGTTATTTTCTGTTTACGGAGTTTAACATATAGAGGGGAAAAAAATATACAAAATATAACAAAATGTGACAAATTTTGCACAGGCTATTTTTTTTTCAATATGTTAAACTCAGCAAATAAACAGTAATTGTGCAAGAAAATGTGCAGAAGTTTGTTCTACATAGATGAACTTTCAATTAGAATTTGACAAAATGTTACTTGACCAGAGCCTGGACATCAGCATCCGACTGCAAAAATGAGAAATATCGGATATCGGCACTGGCCCAGAATTCATGTATCAGTGCATCCCTATTCACAATAGTACGGAGGCCTTAAAGAGCCATGGATTTGCATGTATTTTTAGCCCTGTTTTTCCGTGATAACAAGCTATTTTCATTCGTTTTCTTAGATCGCGCTATATTTATGTTAAGTTTACGGCAAAACAGATGCTGTTTTCTCAAGATCTTGAGTCATAACAAACAGTTTTATCGAGACTCATTATCATGGAAAAAGGACTAAAAAAAACATGAATCCGTGGCTCTTTAGAGCCTCTGTACATTAGGCAACAATAGCAATGAAAAAACTGGAGATGCAGCTGCTGAACGTTTCAGTCCTTTGTTTTTCTAGACGCTCACATTTGCTTTCCATGAGTACAACACAATGATTAGCAATAATAACCAGTCTTAATTAAATGATGAACTCTGGATGACTTCATAAATGCCTTTTTTCATTTTTTTCCTGTACGGATGACGAACACAGAATCCTGATGAAAGATACGACGTTCAGTTCACTGAGTTCACTGAGATAAAGATTCATAAAGAGACCATCTTCCCCAGCCAGGCCTGCCGAGTCCATCAGTCCCACTGGCCTCCTCTCTCCTCCACCAGCCGCTGTTTCTGGCTCCCAAAAGGGGAGCAGTACGGAGCGAAATTAGCGACCGGGTAGCCGTGCAGGCCGCCGAGCTGGCGGAGGGACTTGCACATGGGGCAGGGGTACTCAGCCAGACCCTCGATGTCTTCGAAGGCCAG